GCTCAGTAATAATTGTTCTTAATTTTGCTGAACACTGATTTCAGTGGACTCTATGTGAGACCGTGTTCATGCACGAGAGTCTGGAGGGATAATTATGGCGAGATCTTCACTTTGAAAGCTTCTGGTCTCTGTGGATGTTCTCTTGCTGAGTGAGCAGATGATACTCAGCTCAGGGTTATATTATATCTAAGGCAGTGTCCCAGTGAGCCGACTCAAACTTGATTTTGGTCAGGCATGTTACACCTACAGGCAGTTTCTGCTGAAATCTCACTCCATTTGTCAGCACTATGTCACACTCACAAACTAGGAATGGAAGCGGGTGTCAGAATAAATGACAACTCCTGACGTTTCTCTCAGATTCCCCGTCATGTGATGCTGACAGGAATGCACCACTTTTGACGTCAACGACAAAAGATTGAAGGGTTTTCTCCTCTATTTTAAATGTTGATCAACTTATGTATTTTCAATACTGACTATGCACAATTATATAGTCAACTGCGTTTCAAAATGTAAAAAAAAAAAATTTTTATTATATCAATACACATTTCAAGTGTTGGATCGGTAAGATTTTAAAATATTTTTTAAAGAAGTATCTTTTGTTAAAAAATACAGCGAAAACAGTAATATTCTAAAATATTATTACAGTATTATTAAAATATCTGTTTTCTACTTTTGACCATATTAATGCATCATAGCTGAATAAAATATTCATTTTTTTAAGAAAAAAAACTCATAGACCTCAAATGTATAATAATCTGTATATAATATTGGCTGTATATCCCTTTTTTTTTTTTTTGGTTTTTGAAAAAAGTCTCTTATGCTCATCAGTTTCTTCTCTGCATTTCTCCTCTTCTCTAGTTTGCATCTAGTTGCCAAATAAACCTGTCATTATATTAGGGCTGCACGATTATGACAAAAATCATAATTGTCGATTATTCCTTTGAAATTGTAATTGCGATTATTAATTACGATTATCACAATTTACATTGAATGATGTTTATACCATTGTTTGATGCAACTGCATGCCGTATTTTTATATGAAAATAAACAAGCTGAAAACACTCTTAACTGAAAAACCTTTAGTGCTTTTCTATAGTATTAAGCCTCAAATGTCAACTTCGCGCTCGTTCAGCGGCCTCGTTTCGCTTCGACGGCTTTCAGCCTCACCCTGCTTCATACTACGACGTTAATAAATCATTAGCTCATCCATGAACATGATTTCTGCCCGAGTCCCATCGGATTGCTTCGGCTGTGTGGATGAAGACGACAACTCCCATGATTCCACACTCACGGTCACGGTGTCATCAAACTACGCCTTTGCCTCTTTGTTTATTTTGAATATGCGCCCTCCAGTGGGTGAAAATTACATATTGTGCCTTTAAGATAACATGTAGAAAGAAACAAACATATCTGAAGCGTGCAGAATAACATAAGTGGACTTTGAACGATTTATTGCCGCTTTGAACGATTACGTAATTGTGGCATCCATAAGTTGTGCGTTTTAATAGACCGGTGACGACCGCACAGAGTAGCATTATAACAGAACTTTCAAATGTATCTAGTATGATAAAACAGCGCTGCTTTTTTTCCCCCACATACGCACGACCGGAACGAGCAGAAGCGGTCGACTGTGGCATAATAAAAGCTCCGCTGCTTTCGAGCCGTGTGTTACGCTCGTTCAGCGGCCTCATTTCGCTTCGACGGCTTTCAGCCTCACCCTGCTTCATACTACGACGTTAATAAATCATTAGCTCATCCATGAACATGATTTCTGCCCGAGTCCCATCGGATTGCTTCGGCTGTGTGGATGAAGACGACAACTCCCATGATTCCACACTCACGGTCACGGTGTCATCAAACTACGCCTTTGCCTCTTTGTTTATTTTGAATATGCGCCCTCCAGTGGGTGAAAATTACATATTGTGCCTTTAAGATAACATGTAGAAAGAAACAAACATATCTGAAGCGTGCAGAATAACATAAGTGGACTTTGAACGATTTATTGCCGCTTTGAACGATTACGTAATTGTGGCATCCATAATTGTAATTGCGATTAGAAATTCGATTAATTGTGCAGCCCTACATTATATAGTACGAATATTGTTGGCTCCTTGGCATATTGCTTTTGTTCCTCATTTATAAGTTGCTTTGGATAAAAGCATATACTAAATGCATAAATGTAAATGTCACCAATATATTCAGGGTGGTTGTGGGTCCTTAAAAAGTCTTAAATAAAGTTTTCCTAATAAAGTATTAAATTGTCTTAAATTCAGATTCGGTGAGTCTTAAATATTTTTGGTTACTCTACCGCAAAAATTTCTCCAGTCTGACGGACCCAGTGACAGTTTACAATCATTGGACAGACTGAAGATTTGTTTTTCCCCCGCAGTCGTTCCATAAGTGCCACCTGCTGTCAGAGAGTGAATTTGCATTTTTTTTAATTCGGTCTGCTGTTTTTGTTTTGTGCAGGTGTCTTATATAGCATAATTTCACACATCTAAAGTCAGACCATTCTGTTTTTGCCTTAAATCTTTAAATTGTACAATCTAATTCATATCAAAAACAACTGCTCGTGCTATGTGTGTGTATCATCTTTGTTTGGATCATGATTTCAATGCAGTGGTAGCCTCTAATTTCAAATGGCTACAGATATTTTTCTTTTAAGCCAGTTTGCCTGTTATAGACCAAATAAACAACAAATAAATTTGCTTTAAGAAAAAAAAAAAGTGGTGATCGGAATCTGCCAATTTGCTTGTAAAAAAATCTGAATCAGCCATGAAAAATCATGATCGGTGCATATATATGCATGTATGTAATCTAAGTTTGGTCCTAAATGTCATATAAGGTGGTATTAAAAAGGTCTTAAAAAGTCTTCAAGTGTCTATCTGTAGACACCCTGATATCCCTAATAATAAATATTCTCCAAATCTGACGTAGTCCCAGTGATTGTGTTCCTGTGTGATGAAGGTCTGTTCTCCTGTTCTCTATCAGAGCTCTGTTGGAGCAGGTGGAGCACTGGCAGAGTTTTCTGGCTCTGGTGAATATGATCATGTTCTGCACGGGCATCCCTGGTCACTACCCCGTCAATATATACAGTAGGAAGTCAACAAAAAATGCCTGTTACCAGCGCGTGTACCACCCCACCGCCAAGGCAAAGTGTCTGTTTCAGGATAGATACCTCGCTTGGTTTGATTTTTGCAATTGGCGTGATTTATACACTATTATATGCAGTGTTTCGTTTTGTTTTGTTTCATGAGAGATGCAGGAGTCCGCAAGAGAGACAAAGAAACTGGCCGAAGGTCACTACCCCGTCAACGAGACCACCAGCTCTCTCACGCTCACCTTCTGGTACACACTACAGGTGAGCAGCGCCGCTGAGATCCTAAACACATCTTAACATGCACAGTCTGTGGTCCTATGCACAGGACACTGTGAACGCAGGCATCTCAGAAACAGGCCTGAAAGGGTTGTATTGTATGTGGAGGTTTTTTGTTTGTTTGTAGCAGTGATGGGAAAGTCTCTGTTAGAGATATTGAACCGTCCTTCACTGTATCTGAATATACACCTGTGCTGTGTGTTAACTGCAGTGTGTCACGTTTTGAATATTCAAGAATGTCCTTTTGCTTGTGTCCTTGGGTGTGTTTCCAGTCTGCGTTAGCTGAATATTTTATGTTTTTTGCCACTATACGGAGTACTGCGAAACTGTTAGATTATGGTTTTCTTTTTCTTTAAATTTTTATATTTGTAATAGAGAAATGGAATATTAGCGATAACTTTTAGTACAAACTTACAATTAGCTCAGAGTTTGAGATATATATATGCTTTTATAGAAGACGCAAGTAAATGTGATTTCAACTATTTATATTATATTATTTTATAAACATTTAGAATTTTAGAATATTTTTTATAATTTTTTTTATATTTTATAATAATGAGAGATGCAGGAGTCCGCAAGAAAAAAAAAAAAACGGGCAAAAAGAGTTGCTGAAGGAGTGCAACATTGTCACATTAATACTGAGATAAATGTATTTCTATAATCATTATAGCAAAAAGTGTAGAAGCTTTTTAAAGGTATACAAAACATAATCAGCGAAACGTTTTTATTTATTTATTTTTTAAACAGCCAAATCACAGCCATGCCGATATACAGCCGTATCTCACGTCTACTCGTGTGATATTGCTCATATATATATGTACAGTATATGCAAAATATATATTTTAACTTTATATAAAATAATAATAATTATTGTTATGATGTTATCAAATCGACCTCTCTGCACTTTCAATCAACTTTACTCGTTTATACAGTATTTACATACTTGAACAATAAGGTATGTCATTCTTAGTTGGTGACTTACAGTTTTTGACTTTCATATATTGTACAGTTGTTACTGCTTTGAGTACACTCTTCTCACATGATAATATAAATTCAGCTCAAATCAGTATTTTATTTATTTAGCATCAGTATTTATTTATTTATTAAGTAGGTTGCTTAACACAGGGTTTATGTTGTGATAGTGACCCAGTGACTGTATTCTCCCTTACTTCAGCAGTAGTTTAGTGTGTATTTGTTGATGTTCGGCCGTGTGTTTCAGGATGACATCATGTCGTTTGAGGCAGAGAAGCAGGCCGTCTATCTGCAGGTCTACAGGCCCGTGTATTTCCAGCTCGTAGACGTTCTGCTGCACAAAGCGCAGTTCCCCACGGATGAGGAGTATGCTTCCTGGTCATCAGACGAGAAGGAGCAGTTCAGGATCTACAGGTCAGTGTGTGTGTGTGTGTGTGACTCATATTCTCATGGGCCTGTTGTAACATTTTCTTCTACACTCAGCAGTTTCGTGTTGGATTTGCTGAATTGGCACAGCCAACAAAGTTGCTGTTCTTATTAGGAAATGTAACATTAAATTAATTAAATTAAATGTAACATTAAATTAAATATTTATTATTTAATAGTGCATGGCTTTTTCGATTAATTGTCTTTGAAAATAAAACTAATAACAACACAAAGGGTTTGTGCTTTGTGTGAAGGGTTGATAATACGTTGCATTTCTGTAATGTTTGACTCTTTTAGGGTGGATATTTCCGACACACTAATGTACGTCTACGAGATGCTGGGAGCCGAATTACTCAGTAACCTGTACGACAAACTGGGGCGACTCCTCACCAACACAGAGCAAACAACAACATGGCAGGTCAGAAAACAATGGATTTAGTCTTCAGTTTTCAGTGGTTTTGCTGTGCCATTAAACATTTGAAGCAAAAGGGCAAACCTAGGCTAGGTCTGCACAATTAAAGGGGTCATATGATGCGATTTCAATTTTTCCTTTCTCTTTTTCCTAATGTTGGGATCAGAAGGAAGGCAATGCAAAGACTGTTTTTCCACAGCTTGGCTCTGAACAGCATCTTGGTGTCTTCGGAGCATCTTTATCGTTTGGTTTCTGCGTAAACCTGCATTTGCTGCTCTCATTATTTACACTACATGCGCGTGGGCGGGGCTAAACAGGCAGTGATGTAGAATCGGTGGGCGGAGCTAAACAGGCAGTGATGTAGAAGCAGGCGTTGATCTTCTTCTGCGGAGGCGGGGTTTAGACACTTATTATGTCATAAAGTGACACATTCCACAACCTGTCGTTTTGGCAGATAGGCTTCAATATAAGCTGTTTTTAGACTAACGAGAAAGTTTTGAGTTCTGAAACTTACAGTACAGGTTGTTTTTATAGTACAATGATCTCTTATATGTCAAAAGATCAAGGGAATTTTGATTTCTCAGTTCATCACCCCTTTAATGGTTTCCTGCAGCCTTTCACCAAAATAAAAGCTTGTTGGTTTAACATTTGAAAATGAAGAAATTAAAATTATTATAAATATTGTACTGTAAAATAATATATTTATTTTATAATGTTTCTTAAATACATGCTTTATTTTACTATGAAATATATATATACATACATATATATATATATATATAC